CAGTAAGGATTTATGCAGATGATGTCTTATTGTAATTCTGAGGCGCAGCACCTGAGGACAGTACTACCACCAGTGAAAGGCAGAGTAGGAAAATATCTGCTGATTTCCCTAAAATGTTTGACTGCTGTAATACGCACATGCAACAAACATGAAAAAATACATCCAAAACTGTTAGAGCTCCATGAAGGTAACAGAAGAATGACAGCCTAAAATATAAATAGAGTTCAAAAATCATGAGAGCTAAATGCTCTGTAATTTGGCAAATATTTTTATACTGAATTATATAAATGCAGACAAACAGAAAAAAAAAAAAAAGTTCTGCTGCTCTCTAAGAGAAGATATCCTACAAATTTCTCTCAGCATGTACCTACTAAGGCCCACCTGGGCACTAAATGAGCTGCACCAATACACGGCACAGCAACTCAAACTAACCAGGCACCATGTAGTCACACAGACACACAGAGGAAAATGTACCCCAAGTGTGAATCTCAGCTGGCATGAGAGCCCATAAGAAGCAGGAAAAAATGGCTCAAAAAATTCTATTAATCACCAGTAATTATGAATACATTTTAGAACAGAACATGTATTGCAGTACTTCTTAAAGCAGCCGTACCAGATTCTCAGCATATAGATCCATGCTGCTCATATGAGCTGTACCAGAGCCCTGGCTCACACTGACAACTAGAGAACTGCTTTCCATTACTGCTTTCCATCAGCAACACCTGCACTTTTATAATACCACCACTCTGAGAAAAACTATGCAATAGGCTTACAATTAAATTTCTCAGTTATAACACTGAGGAATGTAGTCACTGCTTTGGAAGTTATATAGAGTCTCTGTGCTTTGGTATAAGCAGACTCACAAAGTTTCTTTATTGGTACATATTCTTCAGAAAAACACAGAAGCAAATACATTTCTGTGTGATAGTGACATCCAAAATACCCTGTTTATTTTCCATGTCATGTTTATTGTAAGTAACAGAACAGACTACGTCTTTGGATTCGAAAAACTCTTTCTTCCAGCAAGTTAATAAGAGTTTGTTGGAAGGATACTCCAAAAAACCACTTAATTGTTTGTAGCTATATGGCCCCAGTTTCTGACTTCAGGGTTAGATCTACTCATGGTGTGTTAAAAATCCTATCCCATGTATCAAAGTGGTCAAAATCTTCTGAACTGCATAAAGCTCATCTGCAGTGAAGATGTGGTTCTTCAAACACAGAGACAAAATACTACCAACTTGGCTGATCAGAGTAAGTTGTGATTCTTAACAGTGCCCATCTTGTTTTATGGACTTCTGGTTTCAGAAAAATAAGCCCGTCTCTACTTTATGTGCTTTCTCACAAATAGCAGCTTTAAATGAGCTAGAGCAGTTTTCCAGTTTTACTAAGTTTTAACATGTGCATTTCATATTATTCCATAGTTCAATCAGCAGATGACTCATAATAGGTTATAAGATCCCTAAAACATGCATTTAGTTCCCAAAAGATTTTGTGAGATCCAAAGGAGAGGAAATTTTCTTCAGAGACAAAGTTCTCACACTGAAGTCACGAACTGGGGAAAACACTGGGAGCAGGCTTAAACCTATGATTTGGGTGATCTCCACCTCTTCAGAAAATTTGGCTGGTTTAGGTGTTAAGAAGAACTAGCAGGATAGGGACTTTGCAAAAGAGACATCACTACTTCTTCCTTAACTGGAAGAGGTGGGTGTAAGGTAACTGCTAACAGGGCCAAGCACAGGGCTTAAAACGCTTCGCTCACAGTAAGACTATCGTTTGGTTCATAAGGTAAGAGGAGTTGCAGGAACATGACTCATGCTCAGTTACTCCCCAGTGAAGGGTAGTAATCATGTTACAAAATAGACTGCCTTTAGGAGCAATGGAAGGCACGTTTCTGGAAGGCCACTTAGGGGACCAGCACCTTGAAAGGGAAACAGAGGCCTTCAAAATCAGATCTAAGTCTGCCCACCACAATCCCTCAATAAGGATATGCAAGGCATATCTACATTCTGCACAGGTGGAAATGACTTCTTCATCTGAGCCAGTATTTTTTTTGCACAAAAACTGGGCATAGCATTAGACCAAGTCTGGCACCTAGTGAAATACAGAGGTATTTCTAGTACAGTTTTGTAAATACTATGTTGTAAATTGTAAACCTATACAGCAAAGGTATCTGCATATGCATCTGAACATTTGATTTTCCTTTAGCTTCCTTTATATTGTAAATAACTACTATACATTTTTTTAAAATACACTTACTGTCCACACAGTAATAGTTTCATCTGTTCGACGGACTTGTATTTCAAAAGACATTGCCAGCTCAGCATCATGCGCTGACTTGCCAACATCCCATTCCACCAGCAGCCGCTGAAGAGTCAAATCCTTGGAAATGTTAAGGTATGTTACTGGAAACACAGTGGATTCTAGGAGCACAAAAAGGACACAAAAATATTAATGTTTTGCTAAGTTACAAAGCAGATCTGAAACAACAGTGGTTAGAAGTAAGATAGGTTCCACACCAGACACGTTCTGATGGGGGGGGAAGTGATCAAGACTGCTGTTGATCTCAAAAGCAAAAATAATCTTTCATCTTAAGGCATCAGCAGGCTAGAATGAGATTCCTGAATCTACCCAGTAGCCCCTCACCATGACACTGGGTATGCTAGTTAATTTCTTTATGCCCTCAATTTACTAGCTACTTTATGGGAATATTGATCCACCCCTCTATAGTCTTATGAAGAGGAACAACATAATGTATTAACAGGGACTGGAGCACAAAAAGGACACAAAAATATTAATGTTTTGCTAAGTTACAAAGCAGATCTGAAACAACAGTGGTTAGAAGTAAGATAGGTTCCACACCAGACACGTTCTGATGGGGGGGGGGAAGTGATCAAGACTGCTGTTGATCTCAAAAGCAAAAATAATCTTTCATCTTAAGGCATCAGCAGGCTAGAATGAGATTCCTGAATCTACCCAGTAGCCCCTCACCATGACACTGGGTATGCTAGTTAATTTCTTTATGCCCTCAATTTACTAGCTACTTTATGGGAATATTGATCCACCCCTCTATAGTCTTATGAAGAGGAACAACATAATGTATTAACAGGGACTGAATCCCAAGAAATCCCAACCCCCAGCAAGCCTTCTCATCATTAGAGCAGAAAATCCAGGCTCAGTTTTGCTCTCTGACCTAATTAAGATTAAATTAGTTAATGCAAATCAAGTATTTGAACAGGATAGGTTAAGAGTTTCCTTCCATTAGCTAGCTCAGATGATAGTCTAGTATTAGATACATTCCTGGTTGCTCTACATAGAGCTTAGGTACTTTAGTCAGGGCTGTGGATTCTTCTACTGGAATTAGACACCTAGTTATAACAACGCCTCTGTCCTTTTGTGGGTCTGGAGTTAATTCCCAGAATAAAATAAAGTTTAAAAGTCAGACTGAAGTTCCTTTTGGTGTCAGGAAAGGAAAGGCCCCTTAAGAAGACTAGCCTGCTGAAAAGTACAGGTCACCTTATGAGTGGTCCCTCTTTTTAGATGTTTGCTCTGTCACCCCTCCCAAAAAAAACTAGCCCTTGGAAGAGATGAAATGTGGTGCTCACTGATCTGTATCTTCTCTCCTTCCTGAAAAATAAACAAACAACCAACAAAAAACTCCCCTAAAATTGATCTGGTTGTTAATGAAGCCAGGAAACTGAAACGGCCAAGTAACTATGCTTTTTCTTTTGTCACAGTTGCCTTCCAAGATGCTTCTGCTTGTTACAGGGTCAGAATACTTATACTGACCAGGACACAGAAAAGAAATCACAGAAATAACTATGCTTTAATAAAACAGAACTCATTCTGGACATTCCTGCCCCACTACAGCCACAGTCCTCAGGGACATGCTGGATTGAGAGACCTCAGCAGCTCCTTCTCACAAAACTGCAATCTCCAGCCATTTCTCCGAGATGTGCTTCACCCACTGACCCAATGATTATCTGAGACATTTACAGAATGTGACAGGCAGAAACACAAGCATTCAGGAAATAGTTTGAGAATCTATGTTTTGACAGATGCTTCTGGCAGCAACCAGATATCCAAACCATTTTGCAATTTATCCTGTGGTGTCTGCTCTGCATTAACTTCTGTGCAACAGTTTCCCTATGTATGGATCTTTACATTAACTGTAGGAAATGAAAGGCTCAAGAGAAGCAGCAGTTATAACAATCCCAGATCAATCAAAGGAAGCAAATAATACTTTATAAGCATAGTTATTAATTATGAGAATACAGACACCGACACAGCTCAGTTGTTTATACAAGTCCAGCCTATAATTAAAGAATAAATGGAGGAAAGTATATATTGTACCATTAGTAACAACTTATAAAAAAACGCTGAAAGAAAGGATTGTTTCTCTTTTAGCAAATCATCTACAAACTCTGTTGGTATATTTTTAATCAATTCCATTTTGAAAGGTACTGGAAGTCAAAACAAAATGAAAACCATATGCTTTCGATCTAGAGGGAACTACTGGAATAGGCTTCTTCAGATATGCTTGGAAGAATAAATCAACATTTCATTGTTCAAACACCTGGCCTCAGAAACAGGATTGTGGTATCCTAAAAAAGTTTCTGAGGAAGAAGTATACACACACATATATGCACACGTACCTTCAATCAATTCTCACTGCAGCCTTAATATATAATTACTGGAAAAAGATGAACACGTTTAAATTACATGAAAACAGAATTTGACACTATTAGTGTCTTCTGTAAGGTAAATGCAAAAATGTTTCAAGTGCAGAAGTAAAATTTCCTTTTTGGCTACGGTTATGACATGGTCCTTAAAAAAACATACCTGCTGCTTGACAATTGCTTTTGAAAAATAATGGCCATTGGTTTTATACTACCATAAGGAAACCCAGCACCTATGACAACTAGTAGATGTCTGGAACTCAATAAACAAAGTGAAAGGCCTGGGGATAAATTTCACTTGCCTAAATGATAAGGGAGCAGCAATTTTAGGTTTTACTGGAAAACAGAAATATTGTTAGCTTCACTGCCAAGGACTGACCAGGCAAGAAGCCAGAAAAACCAAAGCAACAAAGTGAGCCATAAAATTAACTGTGGAAGCAGAGTATCTTACGTCATGTTGGGAAGGTAAGACAAGACACACTTCATCTCCCCGCATTCTACAGACTTTCACCATCAAAACAAGATGAAGCCTGTTAAAATCCCAGTTATGCTAAGGAATTGACTGTAATGTTGTTCCTCTCCCATATGTAATCTTAGCTGCTCATTTTCTGGTCAACCTTACCTGTTTGTTCACCATCCTTCTACCTGAAGCACCATGTACCAAGCCTCTGAGAGGATTTCATTTCACATATGCAAATAGGTGGCTGATCTAAACGTCTGGCCCTTGCCATTCTTGTGTTTTCCTTCTGTAGGGCTGAAGCAAGGTGGGGGAAACAGATGGGCCCAGCACAAATAAACAAACCTAAAGGAAGGGACCCAGCTAGTCTCTCAATGAAACTGACAGACACAAAGACTCCAAGGGAAAGGAAACAAATACGCCTGAAAGAAAAGCCAGCCCATTGGCAGAAACCCCTTCCTTTTTCAGGACGGGGTTTCTGCCAACCATTATGGTGCACCATTAAAAGAAACCCCTGCGTATCTTCTGCATTACCCTATCCTCTTTTCTGCTCCTTCTCTAGCCAATTCTGACTGCAGGTGTCACTACTATCCCTATTGCATTGATGATGAGCTTGCCTCTCTTCTCTACATCTGTATCTTTTTGTCCAAGCTAAAATCTCATCCCTTGTCTCACCATGGAGAATATTTTCACCTGCCACATTTAATTAACTTGACAAAAAAACAAAGGTCTCATTAGTTTCTGTCTTTTCTCCATCTGTACGAGTGTACTATCTCATTTCAGTTAGATGACATATCACTTCAGACCTCACACAATTTTGTTTTCCTCAGAGTCTGGCGTAAGACAGTCTAGATCACCAGTCAGGGCTTATACACAGTACCAACAAACAGAAGAAACAACATAGTTAAGGATATATCCAAGATCTTGAAGACCACTGAGTTACAATGTGGGACTTAGAATCATAGAATCATAGAATCATAGAATCATAGAATCATTAAGGTTGGAAGAGCCCTCCAAGATCATCGAGTCCAACCGTCAACCCAACACCACCATGCCCACTAAACCATGTCCCTAAGCGCCTCATCTCCCCGTCTTTTAAATACTTCCAGGGATGGTGACTCAACCACTTCCCTGGGCAGCCTGTGCCAATGTTTAACCACTCTTTCAGTAAAGAAATTTTTCCTTACATCCAATCTAAACCTCCCCTGGCGCAACTTGAGGCCATTTCCTCTCGTCCTTTCGCCAGTTACTTGGGAGAAGAGACCGACACCCACCTCGCTACAACCTCCTTTCAGGTAGTTGTAGAGAGTGATGAGGTCTCCCCTCAGCCTCCTGTCCTCCAGGCTAAACAACCCCAGCTCCCTCAGCCGCTCCTCATAAGACTTGTTCTCCAGACCCCTCACCAGCCTCGTTGCCCTTCTCTGGACACGTTCCAACATCTCAACATCCTTCTTCTAGTGAGGGGCCCAAAACTGAACACAGTATTCGAGGTGCGGCCTCACCAGGGCCGAGTACAGGGGCACGATCACTTCCCTGCTCCTGCTGGCCACCCTATTTCTGATACAGGCCAGGATGCCGTTGGCCTTCTTAGCCGCCTGGGCACACTGCCGGCTCATGTTCAGCCGGCTGTCGACCAGCACCCCCAGGTCCTTTTCCGCCAGGCAGCTTTCCAGCCACTCTTCTCCAAGCCTGTAGTGCTGCATGGGGTTGTTGTGGCCGAAGTGCAGGACCCGGCACTTGGCCTTGTTGAATCCCATACAGTTGGCCTCAGCCCATCCATCCAGCCTGTCCAGGTCCCTCTGCAAAGGGACCTTCAAGACTTTTGTAGCATAATTTACACATGTAGAAATATTTGTACCATTCACAGTTATAAGCTTCCCTTCCTAGGAAAGTTAAATAAACAAGGCATCTTAAGACTTGTTTTAACTTGAAAGCTAACTCAAGACTATATGAATACCTTTATGATTATCAACAGAGACTAATTTTATTCCTGAACAACTGCATGTGAAAACAAGTGACCAAGTTATTGTAATGCAGTAACTGTTTGGACTTGCCTGCATTACAAAGTTTTGCCACTCTAGGGGCATTGGTAATACAGTCTTAAAACTGAGGAACTGGCACCTTGGGTGAATGGAGTGTGAACACATGAATTTCAACATTGAAGAGAGGCAAAAAAGTCTGAAACAGATATATTACCCCCTTCAGTATGATAGCATTTATACAAAAGAACACCCCTCTCCCTTCTTCACCAACTTAATTAAGGCAATACAACTTCTATAATGCAGACTATAGTCTGGTAAGTTCTGCCTTCTTAATGGTGGTCACAGAAAAGTCAATTAAAAATATTCATTCCTTTTTTTTTCTTTTAATGGAGTCGTGTCCAATGCTACTGCCAGCAGCAAGTGTGCAAGCAGTACTTTTACCTTAAAATACACACCCTTCTGGAAAGTTATCCCTACATTCAACTTTGTTCCCTCCGAATTGCATATTTGCTTTTTTATTTGTATTGGATACATATGTGAAGTGTAAGAAATAAAAATCTGGCCCTGGAATCTTGTGGCACAATCAGAAAAGAGCCAACAGAAGTGCTAAGGTTTTCATAGATGAGACAAACAAAAAAGAGAAAGTGAAGCCAAGAGGTAGGAAAGCATAAAAGTTGTCAAAGAGGAAATAAATTATTTGAAGAGGACAGAGTACAGATCAAAACATATGAGACAGAGGAGGGGCAGATAAATAAATACATTCTGGCTTCACATCATTGCAAGTTATTGATTAAAAAGGCAATTTTGCATGATAGAGATATAAAAGGTAGTTATACAAGATGCTTAATCACCTTACCAAAGAGAATCATTTGCTTAAGCGAGTTACATGTTGCTTGATCACTAGAGACTCACAAATGAGCAAGTCCAAAGCTTCGGTTGTTATAGATTGCTTCCAAATAAAAAAGCAAATGTTCAGACATTTACCTTGCTGTGAGTATGCAGTGTAGCAAGTCCTCAGGGGGAGCAGTACTGCCAGAACCATGAAGGGATTCATCATTCATCTGCCTTTTCCTGCACAAGACTTATCAGGAAAGAAGACGTTTCCATTTATTTCTTTTACGAGAAATGCATGCCAGACAATAGTCCACATAATATTACTGTATTTAAGAATGAATAAAAGCTCAACCACACAGACTCCAGGCCGTTTAAGAGAAATTCAGGAAGAATGGACAAAGAAAGATAAGGAATGAAAAAACCCTCTTGTTTTTAGGACCTGGTTACAGCATAGGGAGAAATACACCACATTCAAAAAGTTCAATTTACTCTAAACAAATAAAACACACAATATCTTTAAAGTTTTCCCTCCACTTATTTCTAAGGAATGTTAAAACAAAAGTTTGTCGTGATAACGTCCTGCACAAATAACAAGATATCCATCCTAACAAGGAACAAAAAAAAAAGCAACAAAGGTGCAAAAGGCCTTGTGGTTTTACTCCGCCTAGAGCCTGACTGATGAATCCAGCAGGCTTTGGCAAGCATGGTCTTGCCCTTTGGCAGCACCCAGGACACTATATGGAGGGTTTTATGGACTGGAGTTGAAATACATGTATCAAAGTCTTAGCAAGTTCCATTCCTAGAAGGACTGTCTCCTCAAGCACCACATAGCTCTATCTAGCATTCCTTTTACAGCTCTTACACTCACGTTGTGACAGGATGAAACTCCATTTGACTTGCACAGGCCAGTCTTGAGGGACTGATCATTACGTCAGATCTCATATGACATGAATCACCTGCAAAATCCCTTGTGTGGAAGGGAGAAGTAAACAACCAGCAGCAGTATGATAAAAGCACTCAGGCACAGAGGGTACAGGAATCCAAACAACAGGAACAGGACTATGGATACAGCTATCTTTAACTTTTAATTTCCACTTTTTACATTTCTGGAGCTGTGTAGAATACTGATAAAGAGTCTTCTACTGCTGCTTCCGTGCAGGACAGATAACCAGGATGACCTTCTGTCCCCACTAATGCCAAGGACAGAACATTTACTGACTTCAGGAGGGCCAGGAATTCACTCCAGAATTTCTTCCTAGAAGAAAACTTTCAATTTAATACCTCAGAGCTACAGACACTTAAGTTTAATGACCCTCCCTTAGATTCACTGGTTTTGAGAAGCTCTGAATTTCTCCAAAGGATCAAAAGAAAAAATTTCAACCTTTTTTTTTTTCACCTTTCTAAAGGTCACATGGAAAATGTGACCTGAGTCCTGCGTGCAGCACTGCAGCCCAGGGCTCAATGCTCACAAGCACCCTTCCTGCACTGTGCCCCAGCTTTTTCCTTGTGAGCACAAATGCTTGTTGTGGTTTAACCTCAGTCGGCAACTGAGCACCACACAGCTGCTCGCTCACTCCTCCCCCCGGCAGTGGGATGGGGGAGAGAATTGGGAGAGTAGAAGTGAGAAAACTCATGCGTTGAGATAAAAACCGTTTAATAACTGAAATATAATAATAATAATACAAAGCAAGTGATGTACAATGCAGCTGCGCACCACCCGCCAACCGATGCCCAGCCAGTCCCTGAGCAGCGGCCCCCCCGGCCAGCTTTCCCCCAGTTCATGTACTGAGCATGACGTCACATGGTATGGAATGTCCCTTTGGCCAGTTTGGGTCAGCTGTCCTGGCTGTGCCCCCTCCCAGCTTCTTGTGCACCTCCAGCCTTCTCAGTCGGTAGAACATGGGAAGCTGAAAAATCCTTGACTAGTGTAAGCACTGCTTAGCAACAGCTAAAACATCGGTGTGTTATCAACATTGTTCTCATACTAAATCCAAAACTCAGCACTGTACCAGCTACTAGGAAGGAAATTCGCTCTACCCCTGCCGAAACCAGGACAATGCTTCACATGGAGGCCCTCATATTTAAAAGGTTGCCTTGCCTAATGTATAGGCGTCTGCAGCCTTTCTTGCCATTTTACCAATATCCTCAAAAGTATTTGGACAACAGTAAAATCAACATGAATAAAGAATCTAAATATTTTTGAGAACCTAGGCCTAATTCACATGCAACTAATAGACTGTTCCAAGAACTGACTTAGGGAAATCTGCTTCATTTTGGATTTTCTAAGTTTAGACTTTTTTTATCACCTGATCAAATTTAATATCTAAAAGGGAAAATAATTTTATATGTTTTGTTTGGAATAAACACGACAGAATAGCTCTTTGTTATAGAGCAGTGACTGGCAAGTAAGTGACACAAAAAGAAGTCTTTCCAAGGCAGATTATGTTAAAACTTCCGGTAACTCTTCAATAGATTGTTATTCTTTTGAATTATATGAGATGAATATTGAGATACAAAGCCAAATCTTGCATGCCCTTTTTCAGAAAAAAGTGAAAATAAAACTGCCTTTAAAGTAAAGGGAGTTGACTCTCTGCTCTAAGACCAATTTAATACAAAGGTGGTCAGTTAGGTTCAGTGGCATAACTCCAGACTTAATTGTATCAGCATGATGAAAACCTGGCCCCAGAGGACTCCTGATTTTGTAAACATCTTTGGGGTTGGACACAAAGCTATTTGCCCTATTTGTCGTGTATCACTTAAATTCAACATTAAATACAGTGGGAAAGTATTGTGGAAGTCATGACATGTTAGACTATATGTTAAAATTACTTCCTATTTAGAAAACAAATCCAAACTCTTTTCTGCTCTTAAGAGGCATTCTCAACTATTGTATTGAAATAAATGTCTAATTTAACACTCTCTCTCCAGTCATTTACACTGTCAGTTCACTAATGACACAGCCTAGATCACTTTTATTGATGCATAGTACAAATGCCATATGCTACTAAAGGGCAGTGTAATATAATAAACGACCATCAAAATACAAACATATTTTGGACAGCTACAATGCTTTTCACTATTCAGTATATTAATAATCTAGTTGAATACTGCATAATCACAGAATCATAGAACAGTTTGGGTTGGAAGGGACCTCTAAAGGTTATCTAGTCCAACCTTCATGCCATGGGCAGGCACATCTTCAACTAGATCAGGTTGCTCAGAGCCCTGTCCAACCTGACCTGGAATGTTTCCAGGGATGGGGCATCCACCACCTCTCTGGGCAACCTGTGCCAGTGTTTCACCACCCTCAGCATAAACAATGTCTTCCTTATATCTAGTCTCAGTCTACCCCCCTTTAGTTTAAAGCCATTCCCCCTTGCCCTTAGCAGGCAACAGGCCCTGCTAAAAAGTTTGCCGCCATCTTTTTTCTAAGCCCCCTTTAAGGACTCATAGGCTGCAATAAGGTCTCCCCGAAGCCTTCTCTTCTCCAGGCTGAACAACCCCAACTCTCTCAGCCTTTCTTCACAGGAGAGGTGTTCCATCCCCCTGATCATTTTTGTGGCCCTCTGGACCCGCTCCAACAGGTCTGTGTCTTTCTTGTGCTGAGGGCTCCAGAGCTGGACGCAGTACTC